GTGGGAAAGAGAAGAAATGGTGCTGGAGTGTGCAGCCACTGGTACAACTCTGTACTCCCTGCTGGTAAGCCCTGGTTAGTGGATGGGGAGATCTACAAAAGAGCTGTTGATATCAATGCTTTAAAACCAGAACAGCAACATGTAAATGACTGTAAACTGTCTGTCACTGAGTTGGGGTTACCTGGCTGTGCCTCTTGTCCACTCACACTGACTAGTTCAGCAAGACAGCCCCATGTGAGAAAGGGTTCCGGTCACCAGAGACCTCAGGGTTTTTCTCACACCTGCTTGTAACCCTAATAGAGTACCATGAAGAGAGGATGGAGGAATTAATGAGGTGGCCATGTGCATATAGGAGGTTAAATATAAAATTGATTACATTTATTAAAATATACCTGCATTAATGCTTATAAATATCAACGTTTCAGGTGGATTGAGCACTAACACTAAGGAATAAAATAAGTCCACTGGTACTTCTACAAAACAACCCTTAATTTTACTCTTTACACAGCACAAAAAGAGTTTCAGGGTATTGCATTGTGTAAATAGATTCATCAGGCTGTATTGGGACTAAATCTTTTCCTGTTAGTAGCAGACAGATGCTGCTCCTCAGCTTTTTAAGTGATTGCTTAATGTTGGCCTACCTGTTGTTTTGATACCTGGTTTTTCTGCACATAGTTTCTCTGCTGTGGAAGAAAGGGTTGGCTTTTTGCACCGTCACAACAACTGGCCCAGAGGAAGAAAAGAAAGCAAGACCAAACTTGTGCAGTTAAAGAAATGTTAAAATCTAGCAAACTGTATCAACTAGAAATCACTTTTTTAAATGCTTCTTACTCAAGAGTCTAGCAGAGCCACATCTCCTTAATTGCTTCTGTTCCCTACAAAGACTGAAGCTGTGATCTTTGAAGAAGGAATGTCACAAGTGAGGCAGGTGTGCTGCTTAAGGGCTGGCTTCAAATGGGCCTCAGAGTGCTGGGGAACAGTCTGGACAATCTGAAGAGGAACAATTTAGTCTGAAAGAATCAGCAGGATTAATTTGAGACTCCCAGCTCCCTGCCAGTCTTGCTTAACTGGCAGTGTCTAGAGCTTTATCTAGTCCATGCTAAACAAACTGGGAAAACAGCAAAGGATAGTACAGAAAAGGAAACTGATAGTGAATACAGTTTTCAGTTAATATATCTGAGGAATGGATTTTAAAATGTTTTGTCTTCTTATTGGTTATGTGATAGGAAAATAAATGAGAATGAGAAAACGATAAAAAAGACAAGTATCAAGCAATTTAGCAATATAAAATTGGAAATATCCCTACAGGGTGCATTTGAGGGAATAGGTAGTTGTAGGTATTGGAATATTTTTTTTTGCATTTTATGTTTTAATATTTATTTATTTAAGCCATTAGAAGTAATCAGATACTTTTATGTTTGATATTGTGTATTGTTTTTCTAGTTAGTAGAATAAGTAAGAGAAATCGTCTCTCTGATGAGAATGTAGGTATTTCTGTCCTGAAAACTGCTAAAAAGTTGCTCCACAGGGCAACACAGAACTTTCATTGATCTACCCGTGGAGCAGAGTATCCCTGGGCAGGAAGATTTCTGTACATTATAGCATCACATCTGCTGAGTTAACTGCATGTCTGATGTCTTGATGCCTTTCTGGAAGGGATCATTTTAAACCTTTATCCATTACTTAACCTAGTGCTGGAATTCATCTTTTTCTCCCTCCCAAAGAGAGGTTTGGAATGAATCATAGAAGTCTTCATATAACTGTATTTGCCATCCTGAACTATGTTGGACATCTTTGGCTTGGGGACAATAAGAGATTTAGGTAATAGCTTGTTAAGTGTTCACTCATCTCACACAGAGTATTTCAGAGGAGAGCAGTACATTTTCTTCCATGATTATGGCTCCTAATCACAACTTCCTCTCAGACCTTGAGAGAAATATGGGTTATCTGGTACCTAGATTAAATCATCAAGTTAATTTTATTTCAGAATCTTTTTTTGTCAGGCCTCTTGAAACATGGAAGATTAATGTATACTATTTTCATGGAAGGCAAAGCTTGAAAAAGCTGGATGGCTACATAGTTTCAGTACTGGAAATATTTCCCTTCCTTCCCCTGGTTAATTTTTATTTCTACAGAAGGATCACTCATCAGTCCAAGAATAGACAGCTATAAATATTCCTTCAGCACTTCTGTGTTGCAAGACATAGTGTACAATTGAAGCGCTTGATCTCGAGAACTAAACACTGATAATCTGCAGTGGAGACTGGATCCAGGACTCTTTGAAGTTTCTGGGAAAACTCCCATCAAATCTAGTCGTTTGAGAGTAAGTCTTTAGGCCTCTTCTACAAAGCATCAGGTCCACTTAGACTTACCTATGCTCTTTGGAAAGGAATGAAATTGTACTGCTTTGGCACTTAAAAGTCAGGGATTATTGTCAAGCTATGAAAAAAACACAGGTTGTCCTGTATCTGGGGACTGAATAGGGCTCTTCTTCCACAGTGAGCTCCAGTCTCCAATCCATCGTACATGTACCTGCCTGTGCTGCCATCAGGGGAATAGGGCCAGAGAAGAGGAATACAGGATATATTCCTACCTCCCTTCTGCTCCTCCATCTTCTGAGGGAGTTCAGTACCAAACACAGGTAGAAACCAGTAGGCACCTGTACCATTATAAGGGGATACACCTCTCTTTTATAGGAAAAAGAGCTGCCTTATACCTGGGCCAATCCACTACTATACTGAAGTGTTTGCAGCCTGTGCTTTGTTGACCTTGGGCTGCTGCCAGCCACTCTCTGCATTACTCAGCACAAGAGGAGGAAATATGGTGGAAAAGTTCACGGGTCAGGATAGAAACAGGGAGATCACAATGCCAGAGTATCTTTTAGCTAGGTTCAGTTCTGATACTCTTTGCCCAAAACCAGACATTTTTGTCATGAGGGCAACAGAACAAATGGCAAAAATTATTGTAGGCAGCAACCCCAGGGATTCCTAAAATATTGGGATTGAGGGAAACTAGATAGAGATTTGTGGTATCAGTGGAAACAATGTTCAGGCATTTAGTGCTGGTTAGAGCTGCTCAACAACACTTTTAACACTGAAAGAGCTTAAGAAGAAAATAAATCTCTTCTGATAGAGACGAGTTATGCTTTTCTCATTATGCTGAGAATATAGAGGAGAGAGCTGTGTTCTGTCTGTCCCTCAAATTTTCCCTGTGGTGGCCCTCTGGAGGCTTGTGGGGCTAGCTCACAGAATGCTAACTCCTGAGACTTGATTTGCCAGCTGCAGTTTGGGGCTGTATTTAGCTACAGGAACCAAAAGGTCAACTCTGTATCACTTTTCTTTCTACATTCTGTCTTTTGGAGTCAAATGATGACATAAATAAATGGGCTAACCTGTTCAGTCTTTATTTACGCTGGTTTCCTTGTCAGGGAGGTGGTTTTTTTAGATGAACCACTTCCTTTCTTTAAATTTTTTTTTCTTCAGAATTTATTTCCTGGAACTTCCTTTACCCTGAGAATGCAATTTCTGGCTTTAGATGAGATATAACTGTGATAACTTGTGGTTCTTCTTCCCCATTCTTGAAGACTGAGGTATAAAAAATCAACATAGCAGATTGCTCCTTCTCATTCCTATGATCATCTCCCTTTCCAAACTTACAATAAATTATTTACCGGGAGACATATTCATTGTGCAAGTATCTTACCCATCTCTTTATTCCTGATTCTCAACTCTTCATACATTATGGCCTAACTTAGTGGACATGAGAGCACTTACATTTCCTTGGATAAAGAAACCTGGATAAAGTGACTCAGCCCTATCTGTTCTGCTTTGCGCTAGAACAGAACCAATTCTCTGTTCAGTGATTTTACTCTTCTGTTAAGTTTCTTCGCAGTAACTGTACTTTCTGAAGTTGATGACATATTTTTGCAGATAGTGCCTGCTTCTAGCAGTGATAACGGTTGATGTTTAGAGTTACTACCAAGCACTGGTATGTAGACCAAGGTCATTGCTCAATCTCACTACTAAGGACTGGTATGCAAAAAGGCTCCTGCTTATACACGCACATTGGAGTGCTGTAAGTGAAAGGGTCATAAGTAAAAAGGTCCCACTTGCAGGGAGGAGCAGGCAGGACAGGTGACCCAAACCTGACCAAAACTGCCATGCACATCATACTCAGTATAAAGCTGAGGGATCACAGAGGTCAAGTCCTTCTTTTCTTCTGTGGCTGGTGTCTGAGGAGGACTCTGTTCTTCTGTCTTTGGTCCCAATCTTTGGGTTCCTGAGTCCAGTTCCTGATTCCAGTTTGTGAATCCTGTTCCCATCTGCTGCTGAGTCCATCCTGGACTCTGGGGGAGCTTGGTATTTGGTTTGTGTATGTATACATTTCATTATTTTCTTATTATATTTTCTTTTTATTGTTACTGGTTTATTAAAGCTCTTTTAGTTTTTTTTTTTTATTATTATTTTATTTTTTTTACCAACCTGTAAGTCTTATCTCCCTAATCCCTTTCCCTTCCCCTTCTGGGAAGGGAGAAGGGTTAATAGAGAGCATCTGTCATTCATTTAGTGGTCAGCCCAGCCTTAACTCTTGACACTATCTCAGGGCAAGCCTGGGCCCAGCTTCACCTTGCTCCTTTCACTGGCACGATGGTGTCCAGGCAGAGCTCGGGCTTCTGGCACCCTCTGAGGAGGGTTCCTCACCTGGGCAGCTCTGTGATCATGCAGCTGAGACACACCATTACCACCAGACTTGATGTAGCTGCAGGGCCATAGCAAGACCATAAGACTAAAATAAATGACAGATTCTGCATTTAGAGTGTTTTTGATTGTTTGTTTTTTTTTTTTCTTTTCAGAATAATGTCTACTTTTTCAAAGTACTTTTCCTGTCTGCCCCTTTATCAGCTTTGGTGCTTCTGATGTTGGAAGTCTCAAACTGGAAATAAATCAGTTGCAACAGCTCAGTGAATCTTTCTTTTTCTTTTCTTATGTTTCTTTTTGCAGGTGGCACAACAGCTGAAATTGAGAAAAAGATTATAGAAGCTTTTGAGGTGTTTGACCGTGAATGCAATAAAACTGTGGATGTCAGGTTTGTAGATATCTTCACATAGAAATCTTACATGATCTAGAATAGAGACAAATAGGTCCCTAAACATGCCTCTGCTTTATCAGAAAATGTAATTGAAACAGTCCTTTCGGCCCTGATTGGACAATTAAGTCTCTGCTTGTTTAGTACACCTTTTGCATTGTTCAGTGGCTGAAGACTGAAAGTGTCTTGAGAGAGGGATGCTGGGAGTGGTGAAGAAGGAGGAAACTGCAGCTGGACAAGGAGTCCAAGGCTACAATTATTACTAGCAAATCTCTGCTCTCATAGACCATTTGGCACTATAGAGCCTGGATCCCATATGGATCCCCTCACTTTCACAATAGTTCCAGGACATGAAGGGGTGTCCCTGCCAGTGTGTGTGTCAGTTACCAGTTCTCAGTAGGTGTCTCCAACTGCAGTGCGTCCTCTGGGGTAGTGTGGGAGGTGGATATTGCTCTGACAGGGAGGCGCTTTTAGGAAACTGGGAAGAAACTTGCATGTAATTTTTATTATTATTAAGATATTTATATTATTATAGCTATAAAGATGATCATACTTGATTGCACCAAAAGTCCATTTAGCCCAGTACCCTCCTTGGAGCTACTAGTAGTTACTTGGGAGAGCAATATGAGGAACTGAGCAAATATGCAGTATTTCTTCTTGTTTTTTGTACGTCTGCCACATCATCATTTGAGTGGCGCCTGTTTTTTTTTTTTTTTTGTCTTGTGATAAATAGTGAGCAATTGTTCTCTATTAATCTTCTCAACACCATTAATGATTTCATAGCTGTCTGCCACAACTGTCCTCCATGGCAGTAGCTTAAGGCTGATGAGTCTGCCATGTGTTTAATCTCTTAGGAAATGCTATTTCATAGCTCTGGCCATTCATTTTTGTGCTAATTTTGAAACGGGATGACCAGAACTGGGGGAGTCTCTTGGAGGTGCCCAACACCTGTGGCAAGGCTGCCCCAGTGCCCCCCCCTACTGGGACAGGCCCCGGCAGCCTGGTACTGCCCTGCCACCTGCCATGGGGAGTGCCTGCCACTACCACCCCGCTTCAGCCCTAGGGAGCCCCAAGCCCTCACTGGACCATGACATACTTGTTGCTTATTTGTTTGTCATTTACATCTGAAGTCCTGGATAAATAGCTTGTGAAATTTGCTGCACTCCTCCCTCTATTATAGAGCCTGAGAAAATGCTACAACAAATGATACAAATAGACTTAAAAAAAAAATTCATTCAGATAGTAAGTCATAACATGTGAGAGGGGACATTCAAAAGTCTATTAAACAGTAAATGCACAACTTCACATTAATTTTTATCATAGTACATTTAACTGACAATGAACACTGATTTATTGTCTAATTATTCCTAGTTTCATATTGCAGGGCTGTATTACAATAATGGGATTATTAATGGCTGATGATCTTGTATCAGAAGGTGGCAGTACAGCACAATTCTTAACCACAGCTGTAGACGTGTGAGTGTTACTGCCTGAAATATCAGATCCCTGTGAAGAATATGGAAAATTACCCTTGCTTGACAGGCCAGCATTGGCACTGCATGACTCCTAGTGCCAATACAAGTTAGTAAGAAATTAAGCATGAGGAAGACTATATTGTTTCACACTGCTTACGACACACCCTGAGTCAAGGGCTTTAGTGGTTTTGCAAATCTTGTCACTGAAAGCGTTACATGTAGAGTGAAAGCTGTGGCCCAAAATGTTACTGCGTCTGTGTTACAAAACCCATATGAATGTAAACTCATTTTAACCATCAGTTTTGTATGCTAGAAGTGACACAGCAGAAGCTGCAGCTGTTGAAGTAAATGAGCAGCAGTGACTGGGAGGAAAATACAATTTCCTACCTGGGTCCCTTAAGCTCCATGTTATTACCAAATGTGATGTGACTTTTTTGACCGCAGACACTTCAAACAACATCCTCATGCTGGCACACACACAGACTGTCAGAAGCAGCAGCCTGCAATGCCAGATTTTGCAAACTTTTCAGGGCCTGGCTTACCTTAGTCACATCACAGTTCTGCTGAGTATGAGGCGAGGCAGAAGATGATGGCAACCTTCCCATCTTTAGCAATCTGTAAGAGCAGAAATAGTGTGGGACAGCAGGGAGGCATGATTGGGTTGGATGTTTTCTCAGGGGGAGGCAGAGAATATTTACAAGTATCTTTTAGCTGGAAAAGGTGAGGGAGTGCAGGAGTGAGAGCATCAAATACAGTATATCCATACTAGAAATAGGAAGCATGAACAAGGATTATAAAAATAGGACTAAATGTTTGACCTCATAGAGGCCAATGGCCAAACTTCCATTCGTGTCCACAGGGGACAAGGTTTCACTGACTCATTTGAACAGACAGCTTTGCTGCATGACAACTGCATGTGTGGGATTGGGTTTTGTTTTGTAACTATTTTTATGCAGCCAGCCTTTCCCTCTCTTACTTCTATTATAGTGCTTCTCACATGTTTTCAATCAGAATGGGAGCTCCTCAGGACCTGTCTGAGGTGGCCAAAGACTGACACGTCATATTTTACATGTGCTTGGTGTGTCACGTTTGGGATCTTAATATTTTAGGATGATATTTAAAAAGTGGTTGCTCCTTGTATCTACGACTTTTATTAGGCAATCTTTTTTTTTTCCACCAAATGTACTGGTGAAGATGAAGAAACTACAGAGGTTTGAATCATGGGAACCACAAGCAATGTGGATACTTATTCAAATATGCTTGAATTTCTGTGTGTTGTAAAATTGGATTGAAAATCAGAAGCAATATTGATGCTTCTGTTATTTTGTTTTCAGTCATACCGTAAGTCTCATTAGTACTCTTTTCTACAGCTTTACAGTACTCCTGGTTTTAGTCTTTGATGATGTTTATCTTAAAGTTTTTTGAGGCATTGCCAGTTTGGTCAGAACCCAAGAACAACCGCACCATGTTCAGTAGTAAATGCAAGCTGTGAATATATTTTACAGTATGAACAGGGTGGTGATAACCCACTGTGTTGGTCTGCTTGACTTTTTCAGAGCACAGCAGGGAAAATAGCTGGGCTAATAGCTAATGGCTAATAGCTGGGACATAGCTGGGCTGCCTCCTTCCTGACCTGTTGTAGTTGTTCTTTACTGCAGTTAGAATTTGTATCTTTATAGCATTTAATGTAAACATGTATTTTATTCATTACCTTTCATCTCAGTAGGTTTCCAGGTGTTTTATGAACTAAATAAACGTAGTCTTTACTGAAATTAAGCTTAACAATTAGGGGACAGCAGTTGAAAAGTAAATGGCACACAGAACACTGCAATATAATAGTAGAGAAGAATTTTGGTGAAAGTCACGAGAACAATTGTACTCTTCCAAAAACGTCCAGAGTATTTAATGTCTGTATAAATAGACATTGCTTACAAAGACATAATCTTAAAAGTCCACATGCATATGCTTGTGTGTGCCTGTGTTCTTGTGCATGCACACTCCTATATGCAAGCTCTGAATTGGTGTCTGGATCCTACACAGACACTCTTGTATTGCAGATGTTCTTTCTTTCTTTCTTTCAGAGATATTGGTCCAATTGTCAGGTCACTCGGTTGCTTCCCAACTGAGGCAGATCTACAGGAACTGCTTGCAAAGGTAAATATTTAGATCTTTTGTATTTTTCCCAGTCTTAAACTTGGAGAAGTTTGGCCCTTCTGCCTTACTGTGTGGGAAACCTAAGCTCTTTTCACAGAGGTTGGGAGTGTCATGGAAGTGATTCAGGCAGGCAGGCAGGCAGTGTCTCAGGTTACCCTGAAGCAAGCCTTTAGGATGATGAGTTAACAGTGTTGATGGGTTAAAATGAGGAGTCTTTGGTTCTTTTTTAACCCAGAAGGTCGCTGTGACACTGTGCCAAGGTGGAGGGACATTTATAGAAAATGAAGGAAAAATTGCTTTTGAATAGTGAAAAAGAATGTCCTAAACCTCAGTTGGATTAGGAAATCCAAACCCTAATCATTTTGCTCTTCTGGACATGCCATGGACACACACTGAAAGATTAAGTAATAAAAATTTTTGACAAGGTGTTAAAATTATACATCAAATTCCAAAATACACAGAGGGAAGACCTGCTATTTTTTTTTTTTTTCACTCTGTCCTGTTACAGCTATTTTATAGCCAGGTCTCTCAACTTCCTGTTTTTGTGAAGTCTCTCCAAGTCTTGAGATTACTTGATTACTTAAGCCTGTAAGTCAGGATTCAGACATAAAACCTCACAAGACCTGTCGGTCCTCCCATTCTCCCAGTGATACACAGGGGTAAGGAACTTCACAGTTTTTGCCTACATTGATTTTTGTCTCCATACCTTATGTTTATAATAGAAAGGACGGTGTGCTGATGCCTTGGCAGGGTATGGTTAATAAATGGGACAAAGAAGTGGGAAAATGATTTCCCATTCTTTTTGCAAACTGATATGCTGCCTTAAGGAATGGAAGATATTCCTTCCATTCCTTAAGAGAGGAATGGGGGAAGGATTTTTTTCTTTTTCACGTATAGGTCAGGATACTGGCAATTGATCTCTCTGACTCTTTTCTTCCTGTCCCAAATAAAAATTTGGATGGCTGCAGTAGTAGTCTCTCCTCAGCAGGATTGTCTGGTCTCTTACAGATCAGAATTTAGTACGAGAAATCTTGTGCTAAGTCTTTTGAAAATGACGCAGCTGCTTCAGATGAGGAAGTGCAAAGGACCATCAGAGGAGAAAGATCTTTTAACATGATATTGCAGTCTGTCTGCTCTGGTTCTGTACTCTCAGTACTATATTGTCCCAGCTCTCACTGACAAACAAGACAAAATGGAGAGAGAAATTTTGGTGCTTAATATAGATTAATTTTTTAGTGACCCACAGATAATTTTGTTTGCAGCAAATAAACAGTCCACCTGACTCAAGATACAGAATTGAGAAAAGGAAGGGGATACTTTGACACACACACCCCCAGTCCAGGGTCAACAGGAGAGTTTAAGGCCTGTTTCCCTCTACCAAGGAGACTGGATTTTCTATTTTTTTTTCACCCATTTTCAACATTACTGAAAATTTGAGATAAGTAATACATGACAATGTACAATGCAATGCAGCTATGAGGCAGAAGGTTCTTGAGATAAGACAGTATAACATGTATGAAATCGTTGATTATATGGATGTTAAATTAAAGTACAAATACTGCAAAAAGAAAGGATACATTCAAGAGTAATGGTTAACCTTACAGACCACTGAACTGGAAGTTAAATATCAAAGAAGATTTCACAGAGTCATAAAATCATTTAGATTGGAAAAGACCTTTAAGATCACCAAATCCAACCATTAACCTAACTCTACCAAGTCCACTGCTAAACCATGTCCCTAAGTACCATATCTCTGTGGGTTTTAGGCACGTCCAGAGATGATGATTCAACCACTTCTCTGGGCAGCCTGTTCCAGTGCTTAACAACCCTTCCAGTGAAGAAATTTTTTATAAAATCCAACCTAAAGCTCCCCTGGTACAACATTTTTTTTGTCTTTTCGTATCACTTGTTACTTGTGGGAAGAGATCAGCAACCATTGCTCTACAACCTCCTTTCAGGTAGTTGTAGAAAGCGATAGTCTTCCCTGAGCCTCCTTTTCTTCAGATTCAACAACCCCAGTTCCCTCAGCCGCTCATCAATAAGACTTGTGCTCTAGACCCTTCCCCAGCTTAGCTGTCCTCTGGACCTGCTGCAGCACATCGGTGTCTTCCAGGAATTCATGGTGCCTGTAAATGAAGCCTTGGCATGGGTTTAGTGCCAGAAGAACACTGTCTTCCTGTAGAAGTCTTAATATATTATGTTAATTGCAAATATATCTGAATTTATATAAGATACCATTATCATTGACTGTGGTGGTACCATTGTGTCTTAATTTAGATAAAGTAAAAATTGTCTTTGTTGGCCAGTTGGTAACCAAGCTATTTCTCTAATATTCTCTAGTATTTTTGCCCATTGTGAACTGTGATTAATTTCTGTTTCTCACTACTTGTGTGTCTTAGATGTCTCATCTTCTTATTATCCTCAATGTAGTTAAACTACGATGTGTTGCCTTCAAATTGTTCATATCTGCCAAATCAGCATTCACATAATTATTTTATCTCTAAAAATTATCATATACTGTTTCCTATATTGCCTTATGCTAAATGCTATACTTAATATCCTATCTTTAGGCCTACTTACAAAGTTAAGATTAAATAATAAGCCTAGAGGTGGTGAAAGCTAATCCAAGGGTTACTACGATGCTTGGAGTTTGAAATCCCAGGTTCAGGGCATTGCTCTGCCACAGATGACCTTCAGCTGTTTGGATGAGCAGATGTAATGGTTTTTTTGTGGCTCTTAAACATGGTTTATATAACTTGTCATCTTCATGGATGTTTTGGGTCATTGCTTTTGGTTGTTCTGCTTAATATAAGACTTGTCTGTATATTTCAAATGAATAGCTACTGTATTTCTTCCTCTGTCTCTGTGGGCTTCTGACCTAATAGCTAGAGACAGTCATCAGGGGAAGTACCAGAGAGGCAGGCAGATTGAGATTCTGACCTAATATTCCTTAAAACATCCTGTGTATTTTTACATCTCAATATTTGTAATGCATGGAATAGTTCAGTGTATTGACCAACTGTTATGCCACTGGGAAGAAGTTAATTTTTGCCAGGTATTTCATAGAATCATAGAATCATAGGGGTTGGAAGGGACCTCGAAAGATCATCTAGTCCAACCCCCCTGCCAGAGCAGGACCACCTAGAGTACATAGTACATTTCATTACATCTTTCCAATCAATCAATCAATCAGTAAAAAATTATTCTTTAGGTACCATATGATTTATCATGAGGCATGCTAACAGCTTCATTTGCTTGCTAAAGATCCCTTCCACTAGTCTCACCAAACAGAAGGGAAAGAAAAACCAGTTTCTACTCTGAAGCAGCAAGAGCTGCAAAAGCTGATGGTTGCCTGCTTTTAGCAACCGAAGCTTTTCAAGAGCACTGGAAAAGAACATGCAGAAGCAGTTGCAGCTCTCCATTTAAGCAACTGGAGATGTCATCCCCAGCTCTGACCCAGATCCCAAGAGGACGATTTCTTACTTCATCTTTTCCTGTCTCAGTTAGGAGATTTCAAATCGGTGCCTGTTTGAGTCTTCTTTCAGTCTGCACTGTCCATGGAGAGCCTAGCAAGGTGTCGTTGCTACCATGTGAGACTGCAAGGCATGCATCCAGTTTCAACACAGACAGCAACAGGCTAGCTCCATGAAGAGGGCTCCTTTTGGGAGTAAAACTTTTTCAGGGAAGGAATGCACATGGATGATAAGAAGCAGTTTCTACTATGTTGCTCATCTCCTGTGGAAGAATAGGAATGCAGTGAGAATGCTACTACAAGTCTCTGATATTTTGGGACTAATCTGTTACTTTATTTGAGATGCAAAGGGAAACTTTTCTTTGTGTAGCATTTTATGGGCTGCCTTATGACTGTTTCAGACTGCCCTGACTCAATCTGCCTGCCTCGCTGGTCCTTCCCCTGATGACTGTCTCTAGTAGCTATGAAACATGTGGAGGCAACAAATTCCATCCTTGAGGTGTAATAAACCGGGATTATGTCCAAACTGGCACATTCAGTATGCCCAGAAACATCCTTGGGTATTGAAGCCAGCTGGCACGGAGCAGCTCGTGTTGACCCTGGTAAATGTTCTATGGAGAGGGACTGTGCAAAGTCACTTAGGTCCCAGCCAGGCCTGGTGACTGCTGAGTGGAGTGTTAGGTGGCACAGACCAAAATCATGCCAGGGAATGTGCTAATGGTTTGCTCTTTTGGGTGGTCACATTACACTGCTTGGGGGTGTTCCAGGTCCTGCTAAACTTTACTAGTATGAACGCAATCTGAATGTGTAAACCTCTGCTGAGTTCCTGTGAGAGAGAAGATCAGTCACTGGGCATCCAGTCCTTTTCATGAATGGTTTCTAAGCACAAGAGGGCAACAGTGAGTTGCTGAAAGTGTCTGTAATAGCAGGCCTGCATTTTGCCTGGGATATTATTTCTTCCTCCAGTTTCTTTCTATGTGACCACAAGCATTTCACTCAGATGTTATGATGCCATGTAATATTAAAACTCTAATATAAATATTCGAAGTCTAACTCTGTAATTTTAATGCAGGAACCAACCAAATTTTCTGGTTTTCGTATGTTTGCTAATGAGTTGTATACCCTGCCATACTTAAGTTTTATTTTTAGGTAGAAGAAGAAGACCCGGCAGGCTACATTCATCTGGAAAAATTCCTTCCAGTGATGACAAAAGTCCTTCTTAACAGAAGGTAATGGAAAGTGGATTTTCTCTGTCTGTAGTTTATTCCAGATTGACAGGGTTGGTTCTGAATAAATGTATCTACAGTAATTTTATATAATTGGAAGAAGTATGGATTTTTTTTAATGTAAACTCAGTTTACAGTACTGTGATAGATTTTGTTTCAAAATTCTTGCATGAAATTATGTTGTATGGATGCTTTAAATAATACCAGCTTATAATAAGGAATTGTGATAATGTGTAGCTTTTGTATTTTTAATGTGAATCAGAATTAACTTGCTATCCAATATGTTTTGTGCATCTCTGAAATGTTTTATGTGCAAATTAAGGTCATAACCATTGCTTTCTCTGAACACATGAGTTACAGTTACTGAGAAGCACAGTCTGCTATAGTGTATTTTTAATAAGTTGTATAAATCAGCTTCATATTCATGTCTCAAAATAGCTGCCAGGTACAGTTGAATGTACACAATTAGCACTCTAAAAGACTACCAATCTAGAAGTCTAGAAGAAAAATGCTGTTGGTTATTCAAAGGTACATAGATATGTTTTCTATGTTTCTATGTTACTCCGAAGCTTTTTTACAGACAGAGTGCCTTCGGTAGGAGGGTGTTCTACACATGAAATAGCTGTAGGATTTCCCAAAGCTGTCTCGCAGCCTTGGGGCTCTGAGTCTTTGTGCCCATGCCTGGACACAGACCAGCCAGCAGTGTTTGGGTCCAGGTGTGCTGGCACAGGTCTTTGCCTTCCAGCTTCCTGAATCTCTGCCTTCTCTGGCCTTTGTGGCACATTTCTGGCTCCACACTGATGTTCACCCTTTCACAAGATGATACTTTGATGCTCTGGGCTCTTTTCTCCCTCTCCACACCCCCTCCACAGAAATACACACACACAAAAACCTGACCCTACACCTTCCTCAGGATAGTGCAGCCTTCTCAGGACCCACTTTATCTTTTGGGGCACTGTGTGCATAGTTCACTTATCCAAGGGCATGTGAGATTTGGATCACAAAAAACAAGGCCTCTTCTTAGCACATTTGATTTTTAGGTAGTGAAAGAGCAAGTCAGGTCTGGATGAAACAATCAAGCCATTAGAACCTCCATGGCTTCAACATCTTCTCTTTAGTATTCCTGTGGGTTGGTGAGAGTCTGCTGGGATATAGAAGGTCTGTGTTACTGTGCAGTGTTTCCTTTCCAGCCCTGAAGTCAGGCACACATATGCATGCACACAAGTGCCCAGTTCTCCTCTCTCTCAGAAATTGTTAGTGACAGACCTTTCCTTTTATAGCTACCAGACTCCTTTGCTCATCATCAGATCATTAGATTGTCAAAGTCCCACCAGGTGATCTGTTGCCTAGCTACTGGTGTACCTGGACAAAACTTTGCTTTCTTGGTTTGGCCATCTTCTATTCAGTGCCTTGGCTACACGGGATGATTCAGCCATTATTGCTTCCTACTAACCCATTCAGCCAGCCCAGACATGCAGAAGCCATTCAGCTGGCTTCTTAGCACAAAGAAGATTAAAGAGGAGTACAATAAAAGACGTAAGAGGTAAAGATGTGGACAGTTCCAAAAAGTCAAGCCGGAATTAAATATTTGATAGACAAACTTAGTAAACTGTGATAGAAAGTAACTTCTCCTTTTCCTTTAGTACTCATATTTTATTCTTTCAGAACAGTACAGCACCTTGGCAAACAGCAACTTAATTTTTCTGGTTCAATGTTTCAGCTACCGGCCTATTCCAGAAGATGTTCTTCTACATGCATTTGAGGTCTGTAACTAATTATTCACGTACCTCATTGCTGGAAAGAAGGTGCTGATTCTTGATTTAACATGGTTAAAACCACGTTTTACTCTTTTCCTTTACAGGCTTTGGATAAGAATAAATGTGGATATATTACTAAAGAGGAGCTAGTGAAATATATGACTGAAGAAGGTAACATGATTTTATAACATTAGTTTTTAAGTAAATAAACATTACATGTGTATATGACACCTTGAGGTCCACATTGTGCATGCTAAAACTTGCCAGGAGTAGGCACATTTTCTTCAAACAATACTGTTGTCATGATGAGTGGCTGCAGACTAGAACATTTCACTGGTAAATAATGCAGGGAAAGAATGTTTTTGTGGATATTTTATGATACTGTGCACATCTGTATGCTTCCTAAGGATATGACTCCTCTTCTGTCCTCCTGTAAAGCTGTATTTTAGTTTTCCAGATGTTTCAGGTAGTTTCAGTGCTCATTCATTCCTACATTATCTTGATCTTAATTTTAGTGCTGTATGCAAACAAAGAGATTCAAAGCCCAGATTTAAGTTGTATATCATGTAATACCCAATATCCCTGCTCTTCTTGCATGGCTGACTCATGCCTGCAGGCCTCAAGTACAAAACAATGTGCATGCTTTGCGCAAGACCTATCCTCAGATGGGAACCTTGTTCTCAAAGAGGAATGAAGTAGGCCACCAGCAGCTTTGAAACTCCTACGAGAGAAAAACCAGAAGCCTTTCATGATGTAAATACAAGTGCAAGGATAGCCAAATACGAGATAATAATTCTAACGTACATATTAGAAGAATTAATTCTGACAGAAATGGTTGTTTCAAAATCCTTGTGGCAGAGAAGAGCAGGCTGTTTTGGAGTCTGTGAACTAGAAGGAGATCAGAAGATCCAGGCCCTCTGTCTCCTTTCCTTAAGACCAGCTCACATGGTATGGAGGACTTACATTGGCAAAAGTAAAGGAGTTGGATCCTTAGTATTGCTCCTTTTCTCCTCTGTGTGAGAACCAAAAGGATATCATTGCAAAGGAATTTCACTAGCCTTGAAAGGAATACTTATCAAGACAAAGTGTCCTCTACTGTCTTTCAGGTGAGCCCTTTACTCAGGAAGAAATGGACAACATGCTCGCTGCTGCTCTAGATCCAGAAACAAATACTGTTCGCTACAGAGACTACCTTTCAAAGTTGGTAATAGATGAAACTCAAGATCTGCCCCTTTAGAGTTTGAGATGCCTTTTGGTAACAGCAGCATAGCTTGGCAGTTATTGAAATATGTATTTTAAAGTATAACAAAGCTCAGCTTGTGACTTTGTGCTTATAATTAAAATAAAATCTGTGTAGCTATATTTCCTTGGGTTCTGTATACGGGATGAAATACATTCACACCTGGAAAAGGAGCTCTTCGCAGAAATACGTCTGGAAAAGAAATCATGGCATTTGATTTGAAAATAACAGGAAAAATAACGTTAATGGAGGCAATAAATGACTTTATAATTGCTTCTGAAACCTAACAGAAAATGAGACCTGTGAGCGCAGGTAATAAATAGGTGAGTACCTTAAGAAGACTAAAATTGTGAAGGCATGCTACTAAGATAAAGCTTTTATATTTAAATATAATCCCAGCTTGTGATTAACTAATAAGACACCAGGTAGGTTACTCCTGAAATAATAGTTGAAATCAACTTTCTACAGTTTCTAGTGTCTGTCAAGTATTGTGTATTGTGTACCATAGGCAATTAAACTGAGTCAGTTAGTTCCATTTTGTTACTCATCCACAAAAGGTGTATGGACTTTTGCTTCCATTTTAAACGTGGAGGTAACATTCAAACAATTGCCATAGTCAAGTTTACAGAAAAAGTAATCCCTGAGAACATCTCTGTTCCTATATGCAATAAACAGTTCACCTTTCATAACTATTTTGCAAGTCGGGGGCTTAAACTGTTCAAAACTTAAGATCATAGGATGGGAATTTGATTTTCATAAACTGACAAAGTACCATTTTTTGAAAGATGTTAAATGTCAACTATCCTTGCTAGAAGACCACCACAGACTGGTTGTCTTATTTCTAGCTTGATATTTTTCTGACTGTTAGTGTACTGTTGTCCTTTAACTTGAGTTTGAGTACTTTTGCCTCAAGTTCCTGCCTTGTACATCATCTTCTAACAAGTGACCAGTGGTTACCCTCAATTGATGAGGTCTCAGCTTGTAGGAGAAGATTCTGAAATCTGGTCCTTAAGGGCACCATCTTGCTCCTGATGCTCCACACCTTCCATCCCATTTCTGGTTTTCTATTCTCTATCAAGTCTGTTTTCCTCTTGCAACCCCTCCTCTGTCTTAGCTGCATATTCCAGCTCTGTATCATCAGTAGACTTCATCAGCTGATGAAGTCTGGGGAAGACTGACATGAAGAAACTGACTGCCTTATCCCCAGACATTCATTTCTAGTGGCAGAGCTGAGAGCAGAGTGCAGGGCTCCCCATGTCAGTTCTCTTCTAGCCATTTGTTTCACTTGAGCTGGAAGCTCAGAGGACCTGTTTTCATACTTAGTTGCAAGTGAGCTATTACACTTCACAGAGAAGGGACTAGCATGGTCTAAATGTGATGGAAGCAATCTACTGTTTAAATTTGGGTTTTACTTCTCTAACCTAAGTTGTTACATTTTCTTAAACACATTTTCTTAAACAGTAAGGCAACAAACAGTTAATGCATGTAAACATTTGCCTGGTTCTAAGCTGGGTTTCCATCTGGGAATCACCGTTGCACTTGTCCTAAGACTTTGCATTGCACTCTTGTTAACACATTTACAGTGTGTTTCATTTCTTTGCCAGTAAGACTTAAAAACAAAGGTAATCTTTACTGTTATAATGTGAGAAGATACAGGTTTCTCAAGATTAAAGCAAGAGCAACAAAGGCCCATTAAGAAAATATATTTTTTATTAGCCTTCTTTAGTCTCTCTTCTTGGAAGCTGAAATTGTTTTCCCCAGATGAATCCTTTCTCCGTTTGATATACAGTGTGTTGTACTGCATCTTTAACTCAGCTGGCCTGAATATGAGTTTCATTCATGTTCTGCAGACTTGGAGCCACTGTCAGCCTTATCTTGGATGTCAGCATGAAGATGCTTATTTCAAGAAATCATTTTGTAGATCAGAGTGCCTCAGAGAGAACACAACCCCAGAGGCTCTCTCAGCTACTGCTGTATCAAATCAGGATGCCCGTGTACAACACAGTTACAATTCCTAGTGCAGGTAGGATCTTAACATGTATGATGATATGATTTTTTTATCCTATGGTCCTCAAATGCAAGGGAAGAGTATTCTGGAAAGTAGAAAGTGGGGTTGTGTCTAAATTTATCACACAGCAACTCCATCCTCTTATACCTGTCCTAAAGAAAGACCTGGGCAAATAGGACAGATAAAAGCAAGTTGCTGTCTTCACTTTAGGCATAAGTGACCAAATTCCATTGCCTAGAGAGTTTCTAAACTGGGGTGAAGGAAGTGTCAAGAACCAGTATCATACTCTGAAGGATCCTAAAAGCAGAGTGCTCCCTGCCAGCTAGAGCTACCTAGCAGTGACCTGAGGGGCTTGTGAAGGAGCTGCTCAGCTCAGGGTCACCACAGAAATGGCTAAGCAGTGCCACACACAGCTGCTCCCTTGCCCTTGTCTTTCATGACTTGCCAGCCCAGGCTGTGCCCACCCACCTTCCCATGGTGGTGTTGTGCTGCATAAGGGGAGTCTTTGAAGCTCCCTGGGATGGACTCTGAATGGTCTGCATCTCTGTGCTCTCTGGGAATGGGCAGGGTCCCGTACCCTAGGGGAAGAGGGTTGAGAGGAGACTTGGGGAACCATTTTGCTGTAACTAAAACCACTTCTATTTCTAAATTTGAAGGGAGAAATACATTACTTTATCCTTGTCTTTGAGGTGGACAAATTGAGCTGCTGAGTGGTCTTGAGCTGTCTCTTGCTACATGCCTTTCCTTGCTGACTGTTTTGCTTCTTCCCTCAAGATCAGGAACCAAGATTAGGGATAGGATTGCACTGGGAAGCCTCTAGGGAGGAACCAGCCTAGCACCTGCACTGAGTCCACACAGGGAAGCAGAGCCAAGGCTTTTAAGAAACTGGGGAAGTCAGAGGGTTTTTGACCTAGTTGAAGGAGGGAGAGGGAAGGGAACTCATTGCCCAAATGCAAAAAAGAAAACAAAAAGAAATCAAAGAAGCAAACCCTGGAAACCATCTACAAATACAACTGAATCAGCAGGCTGTTTACATCACTGCTGCATGTTGTAGGCTGGACAAGACTTTACTTGTTTAAAACTTTAAGTAGGTTCAGTGGTGTCAGGGCATATCTGATACATAGTGGAGACCTCCTCAGTCTCCCTGATACTGTGGAGAAACTCTTCCAGCTACTGAACTGCTGTTTGCACTGCTCATATGCCAGGGAATACATTGCTTTTTATGTTTCCCTCATCAGTTTTGGACCTGCTTCTCCAAAATGCTTTTCTGTCTGATAGTAACATATATATTCACACTTGAAGGCTTCAACATTTCCCCATAGCAATGCATACCAACATGGTATTTACCATTCTTTTAGACTTTGCATGTGCTGTGGGCAGAAACAGAAGTTGCAGGACTTCCTCCACCCATTTTTTCACAGAGCTTGCAAAATGTTCAGGCTCTTATCTCTGTTCAGAAAACAAGAATTTGTAGTATTATTAATTTTTTCTCATTTCAATCTGTCTTTTCTCATGGTTCTCTTATATCTCATTTCATTACTCCAGATGGATGATAACCTGTGAGGGCTGAAAATGCAAGAGAGTTTTGCTCCACCCCAAACTGCTGATGCCCTGCTACTTGCTCTGACAGCTGCCCATATTAGGGTGTCATTTACCAAGAGATCTAGACCTACTGCCACTGAAATCAGCACTGGCAAAACTGTCATCACAGGAAACTGGAAGAACCTAAGCCTTTGGTTTTGGGGGTGGGGAGGGGGAAGTGTCTGGGGATGCTGGAGCTCAGCCAAGGCTGGGATAGGGATGGGAAATGATGATGTTTTAAGTCCTGTAATATACTGTTATCATTGTGTAAAAGAGGGAACACAGTCTGGACAGTAAGGCACCAGGGTGGCAGGCAGGTTTCATTCTAGACATTGTGAGAGGTATTGGGTAAGTCATATAATCTCTCCCTAGAACTTCTCATCTATAAAGTCAGAGTAATTATAAGGAATAGGAGACAGGGAGTATCTATCTTGCCTACCCAGACGGCTGACTTTTGTAACACTAACCCTGATGTTTGGACAGTGTTTGGTACTATGATGTTCTGATCAAAATCAGTGCACACGCTGCTCTCTGTCACATAATTAATAAAGTTCTCAGCCTTCAGGTGTTTTGTTCCAGATTGTACATTCAGGTCACAACTCCTAAACAGGTCAGTCTACAGCAAGTATGTTTCTTTTTCATTTAACACAATTCTGTTTCATAGTGTCTCATGCTATGATAGGTTTGACTGTAAAACTAAGTATTGAGACATCTGGTCTTATTATTGGAGGACTTTTTTGGGGGCAGGTCAGTACTAAGCATGGGGACTATGCTGATTTAAAAGCTAAATGAAGATGTAGATTGAAACAACACAGATTCTCCTGTTTAACCCATTCTGAATCCCTGGGGCTACTGTTTGGCTTAGTATAGTTCTGAAAGCCAAGAAAATGTTACTCATTATGCTCAAAAGATTGATCACAGCATTTCTATCCTGAGGCCCAAATCCCGAAGTCCTTAGTCAGACAGAACTCCCATTGACTTCAAAGAGAGCTCTGTCTGCAGAAGAGCTTCAGAAATAGTGATGTAGTGGGCTCACAAGGCACTGTAAAAATCTTTTAGTCTCTTTAAATGAAGTTTCATCTGTGGAATATCTAACAGAGATGTGCAACCAGTATGCAGGTTGTGTCACTGAAATGACCAAAAACCATAAAACCATGGGAGTAGGTAGTTAATTCTTGCCTACAGTAATGCAAGCAAGCAGATTGAACAAGAGTCTGCAGACAGAACTTTTCCATATTGTTCAGACTACAGAAAGAAAAATCTGGGGATGCTACTGCATGGGTGCTTAAAATGACCTCTTCCTGCCATTATCCTGGAAACACATCAGCCTTAAAAACGTATGTGTTGCTTCTGTGATTTCATACACTAAAACAATTCCTTTTATCCTGGACTCTTAGAAACCCTTTCA